GCCAATTTTCTCTACACTTGTGGCGGTCATTGAGCCTTTTCTCCTTGCACTCTCAACACTCGCTTTTCTTAGCAAGACGAACGGTTGCGGTACATGCAGCGTGATCTGGCAGATCGTTGGGCCCGTGTTAGGTACCTTGGTTAGCGCTGGCAGTGGGGCTGAAGGGAGGAAAAAGAATTTGAATATACTTAGCGGTAAGTTCTAGAGCTGTACAGATCAGCGCTCAGATTTTAGAGCGTTTGTTTGCAGGTGCTATGTCAATGGGGCGTCAAGTTTGTGTTCTAACTCTTACTGATACATCAGTCTATCGCAGACTGTAGCAGCGACCTCCGACTTAAACCGGTTTCACCGCTCCTCCATCCCTCACCACCATCATGCATATCTCAGAGAAGCTCGCCGAGGCGCAGAAGGCCGGCAAACCTTCCTACTCCTTCGAATTCTTCCCGCCAAAGACTGCACAGGGCGTACAGAATCTCTATGACCGCATGGACCGCATGCATGGCTTTGGCCCCTCCTTCATCGATATTACCTGGGGCGCTGGCGGCCGCCATTCACAGTTAACCTGCGAGATGGTCAAGACTGCTCAGTCTGCCTATGGTCTAGAGACATGCATGCACCTCACCTGCACGGATATGGACAAATCCAAGATCGATGATGCGCTGCGGGAGGCCTACAACGCTGGCTGTACCAATATTCTGGCATTGCGGGGAGACCCTCCGAGGGAGCGCGAGAAGTGGGAAGCCAAGGCTGGTGGGTTCAGGTACGCAAAGGACCTGGTTAAATACATTAAGGAGAAGTACGGAAATCACTTCGACATCGGCGTTGCTGGATACTCCGAAGGCTGTGAAGACCAGGAAGACGCCGATCTCCTGATCGACCATTTAAAAGAGAAGGTTGATGCAGGCGGCACTTTCGTCATTACCCAGATGTTCTACGACGTGGACATTTTTCTAGACTGGGTTAGAAAGTGTCGTGCTAAGGGCATTACCGTCCCGATCATTCCGGGTATCATGCCGATTCACACATACGCTGCCTTTCTACGACGCGCGCACTGGACAAAATGTCACGTCCCCGAAGAATGGACCAAAGCATTGGAGCCGGTCAAGAATGATGACGCCGAAGTGCGTGAAGTCGGCAAAGACCTGGTCGTAAAGATGTGCCGTAGGCTGCTTGACGCTGGCATCATCCACTTGCACTTGTAGGTAACATGGCTTTCCTTGTCGGTAAGTATGCTGACACGTGATACAGCTACACCATGAACCTGGCCCAGGCCACTCGTATGGTTCTCGAAGAGCTTGGAATCACTCCAGATCTCGAGAGCCCGCTGGATAAGCCGCTGCCATGGAGACAGTCACTCGGTCTAAATCGTCGCGACGAGAATGTTCGGCCTATTTTCTGGCGAAACAGGAACCGATCTTACGTTGCACGCACTCAGGACTGGGACGAGTTTCCGAACGGCCGTTGGGGCGACTCACGCTCTCCGGCCTTTGGTGAACTTGATGCCTACGGTATCGGTCTGAAGGGCACCAATGAGCAGAACGTGAAGCTCTGGGGCCAGCCACGATCCGTCAAAGACATCGCCAATCTTTTCGTCAGGTACATGCAGGGCAAGCTGGAGAGCCTGCCTTGGAGTGAAGCGCCGATCTCCAGTGAAGCCGATGTCATCAAGGATAACCTCATCGATCTCAACCAGCGGGGTCTGCTGACCATCAACTCCCAGCCAGCTGTAGATGGCGCGAAGTCTTCCGACCCAGTCTACGGTTGGGGCCCACGGAACGGCTATGTCTACCAGAAGGCCTATCTGGAGGTTCTCGTCTCACCCGAGGTCATTGCTGAGCTCATCACCCGAATCGAACGGAACCCTGATCTGACCTACTATGCGGTCAACAAGCAAGGTGATCTGAAAACAAATGCGCCCGGCGACGGTCCCAATGCAGTCACCTGGGGTGTGTTCCCTGGTAAGGAGATTGTCCAGCCGACCATTGTGGAGACTATCAGCTTCCTTGCCTGGAAGGATGAGTTCTTCCGGCTTGGACATGACTGGGCGAGCTGCTACTCCGCGGCCAATCCGTCTCGTTATGTGATCCAGGACTTGATGGACAACTGGTACTTAGTGAACATCGGTAAGTCTTTCGACGTTACCTTTTCTAACGGCGCTAATGTTCACCTACAGTCCACAACGATTTCCACGAGCAGCACGGCATCTTCCCGCTGTTCGAAGGCTTGGAGGTCAAAGATATGGAGAAGCCGCTTCATGTAAACGGTGAAGTAGCGACCAACGGCGATGCTCCCGAATCCAAGCCGACAACGAACGGCGACAGGACCGCCGAACCCAAGCCATCGACCAACGGCACCAAGGAAGAGGAGAAGCCCGCCGTCAATGACGGCACCGAGGGCTGGGCCAAGCCAGCCAAAAAGAGCAATGCACCACTGCCACAGACCTTCCCCGTCCCGCCTTAGATGCGGCCAGCTCGATCTGTACATATCTACCCTTCCTTTCTCAACTCGATCTTAACGGCATACATACGGAGTTACGGAGCGCTTCAACAGAAGCTCAGCAGTGGCGTCGGGGAGAAGCCATTCAACATTCCAAACAGGCGGCGGAACTGTGTAGATAGCTTTGGTGTGGCGGACGTCACTTCAACTGGACGACTTGATGAGCTATTGTGATGGGATGGGAAAAGTTCCTGCGAGATACCCGACGCGCTCTGCCCTCAACGGCGGACTAAACTTTTTGTTTTCGTCAACGGTGGAATTTGTCGGTAATTACTTCTACTCTATAAGAGTTGACACTTGCCAACTTAACTCTGTTTGATAATGTGTTTCCATTTTGAACTGCGCTGCTCCGGCCCGCTCCCCACCCTCTGAAAGCAAACCCCTGCCTTCATATCCTCTCCGCCTCCAACACCTTCCTCGCCTCCTCACTCCTCCACCAACTCACCCCTCCCTCCCCGGAAACTCAAACTTCTCCATACTCTCGGGCCGCATCTCGACGCTATACCCCGGCTCCATCGGCGTGACATAATGCCCATCCCTAATAACCGCCGGATGAAAAAGTGCTCATGCAAATGGTCCACATACTCCAACACGCTCTTCTTCCCGCTCACAACCACATAATCAATCGTGCTAAGGTGCTGCGTATATTCCGGCAGGCCGACACCCCCACTGTGCGGCACGATGGGCACATTGAACTTCTTTGCCAGCAGCAGCACCGCGAGCACTTCGTTTACGCCGCCCAGCCGGCAGGCGTCGATTTGGCAAACGTCGATGGCCCCGGCTTGCAGGAGTTGCTTGAAGATGACGCGGTTTTGGCACATCTCGCCGGTCGCGACGCCGATGCCGAGGGGGCTAGCGCGGAGCGGATCGCGGCGTGCCCGTAGATGTCGTCGGGGGAGGTGGGCTCTTCGATGAACCAGGGCTTGAATTCGGCGAGGTGGCGCATGTATTCTATGGCTTCGGGGACGGACCAGACCTGCGTCGGGATGGTTAGATCCGCATGCTCCAAGGGGCTGTAAAAGAAGAGACGGTACAAATGTAGAGGAATAAGCATACCTGGTTCGCATCCACCATCAACACATTCCCCTTATCATACCCAATCACATCCCTCGCAATCTGCAACCTCTCCCTGTCCTCCTCAACACTACCCCCAACCTTCAGCTTAAAGTGCCGATACCCCTTCGCAGCCGTCTCCTCCAGCAGCCCCCGCATCTTCTCCTTCCCGTAACCCAACCACCCCGCACTAGTCGTGTACGCCGGAACAGCCCTACTGGCCTCCGCCTCCTTTATCCTGTCCGCCTTCCCCTTCCCCGTCTCCTCCAGCATCGCCACCGCCTCCTCCGGCGTCAGCGCATCAGTGAGGTACCTGAAATCAATACACCGCACGACCTCCTCAGGCGTCATATCCGCGACAATGCGCCAGACAGGTTTCCCCAGCGTCTTAGCCCAGAGGTCCCAGAGCGCGTTGACGACGGCGCCGAGGGCCAGGTGTATGACGCCCTTTTCGGGGCCGATCCAGCGGAGTTGGGAGTCCGAGACTAGATGCCGCCATGTGGCGCCCCAGTTCGAGACGAGGGTGTCGAGGTCGGCGCCGCGGATGCGGTCGGCGAGGAGGGTTATGGCGGCGCAGACTATTTCGTTGCCGCGGCCGATTGTGAAGGTCTGAAGGTCGGTATATTAGTTCATGACTGGGTTGAGGGGGTAGAAGGATGGGGAAGAAGGCTTTACCATGCCATGGCCGGTATGGGGAGAGTCAGTATGAAGGATGCAATAGGCGGAGCTATAGTCGCCGGCTGCGTTCATGGCGTCGGAGCCGGTTTTGTCAAGGGATGTCTGGAAGTGTCAGTCATGGTCCCTGAGCCCTGCTGCTTGTGATTGCTTGTAGAGGAACGAGGTAAACTTACAGGGAACCTCACGTCCCGGGTCTCGATATGTGTTATAGTGACCATTTTGGAGGTTTGTAGGAGATGTAACTGGTAGAGGAGAAGACGAAGAAGAGATGTAAGAGTCGAGGAATGGACTCAGTTGCAAGCTACCAAGGACACGGAAGCTATTTACATATCCAAGACTAGCTGGAGCTATGTCCGCCGGAAGAAAGCTCCAGTCAGCACCATGTCTACGGCGGGGCTGATAGGTGGAGAAATGCTGCCATGAGACTCCGAAGCTTCCTCATGCGCAGCATCCCCCATGGCTGGCTCATGAAGAAGGTCCTGCCTACGTGTTTGTTCAACTGTTCGGTGAGCATTGAGCCGGTGTAATAATTCCAGCTGCTGGCCACGGAAAGTTTGGCCGTGCATGGACTTAGGGGTCATCGAGCGTTTCTAAGGGTCCTCCGATGTCGCACACAGTATCTGTGAAAGCCTTGGCAGGAGGACTGGCCGCTATATTGAGCATTGCTTAAGCTTCCGACCTCGCGCTTGACTTCGCCCTTAAGGAAACCTTCAGAAAAACATCAGAAGAGCAAGACACAACAAAAGGGAAATACGAAAAAGTCAAAACGAAACTTCCGTTGCGGGAATCGAACCCCGGCCTTGTCGGATCGCTGGAAAATCCCCGCTAGGGAATTCACATGAGAGCGACAAATCCTAGCCACTAGACCACAACGGACTGATTGATGGACGAAATGTCATCCTATTTGATAAATAAAGCAAAGACATCATTTTGTAATAGCAAGTTTTAGAGGTGTCAAATCTAGGAAAACCTATCTCTTCAACACTCAAGCATTTAATTCAGCGAGAAACATGATGAGCCTTTAAAGCAGTAGCGCATAATAAAAAGCCAGAGCGCTTAAGCGTGGGTGCATGAGTACTTACTGCAATGCAACCGCTTTGTCGTATAGCCTGCCTCAGAAGAGAACGGTCTCAAAATCCACGAATCGTTTCGTCTAATCGACATCCAAGATGCTTTCATTGACTTGCTATGCTATCTAGCAACAACTCTGGCCCTAAACATACCTCGTCCGACAGCTGATGCGAAGATAGACGCGTTGCCCAAAACAAACCCATAAGCCATGTACTCCATTATCGCCGCAACACCCGTGATCCCTCCGTAGTCCCTCAGAGCCCAAAGATGCGACAACAAGAGCTGTAGAGACCGAGTAGCGCGCCGCCCAACCCACCACAGAAACATCCATAACGATCCATAACTCATCCCATTCATCCAAAAAAAACCCCCTGACAAGCAAAAAGACACTCCGCAATACACCTCCCCCATCAAGTCACCGCCACCACATTAAGCGTAAGTTTCGGATTCCTCTCCAACGCCACCCTAAGATCCTCCTCGCCCTCAATCCGGTAAAACTCGCCCTCAACCTCATCCCTATACTCGACCCCAAACTCCTCATCTTCATCCTCCCCGGCCGCTCCAGCACCCTCCGCTCCTTGAGCTTCTTATACAGATCCGCGTACCCGAACCCCGGCGGCATGCGCACCACGATACAGTTCTCCGTGTCGAACCACACCTTGATCTTGTGCGGGGCGCCCTGGCCCTGAGCTGGGGCAGGAAGACTGCTATTCGTGCTGCTCGCCGCGCTCGCCTGCGTGAGCGCGCTGGTCTGGCGGAGCATAGGTGGCTGCATCGGCGTCTGGAGCGCGTCGGACGGTTGTCTGTAATGCGCCGTCTGCGCCGTGCTCGAGCTCGCGCCGCGCTGGTGGTATGCTGTATTTGAGCCGTAGCTAGGCTGCTGGCTGAGGTTGCCGGACGAGGACTGGCGGGATGCGCCGGCGGAGGGCCCGGTGCTGGACTGCGAGGCGGAGGAGAGCCGGTAGCCGTCTGCGGCCGCAACGTCGGGGTCGATTTCGTAGTCGCCCTGGCGCGGGGCGAAGAACTTTCGCACAAGGTGGCCTTGCACGATGTGCGGGCCGAGCTTGAGCAGGTTCTTGATGTAGACGTCGAGGTTTGCTCGCCGGCCATTGGAGATGTTGTCGGTCACGTAGGTGACGGGGCCGGGCATGTAGGGCAGCGAGCGCTCGACACCAGAGTTGCCGGCTTCGAGCGGGAACTCTTGGATGAGCGCGATCTGTAGGTCGTAGAAGTCTTGGTAGAGGCGGGAGAGCTCCCAGTGTCGGCCGTCTTCCATTTGGCACTCGATGATGAACCAGAAGATGTCGTCGGCGAAGCAGTAGCGGGGTACGCATGCGCGGACGGGGGCGAGCAGTTGGGGGACGGATTGGCGGTACTGAGCTTGGTTCTGGTATGTGCTTGCTGTTCGAGAGTGGGAATGTACCTTATGAGCATAGTTAGCCGAGTGATGTCCGTTGAAGTGGATGGAAAACTGCATACCGAATCGTGTCCGTTCGCTGGATATCCGCTTTGGCTCTTGTTGCCCACGCTCATCCGCTCCGTGCCACGCTGCGTCGCCGGTGCGTTCGAGTCGAGCTTCCCCAGTGGAATGCTGCCGTTCTTGTAATCTGCCGCCATCTGCTTCCATTCTTCCACCTTCGGCACTCCGGCTCTTCGCACTGCTTCCTGCGGATCTGCTACTGGCTGTCCGGTGGTCATGTCTCGGATTTCGATGAACGACACAGGTATCAGGCCAGGTCCACCAAGTCTCGTTATCGGCTTCGCAACGAACCACTCTGGGTTCGACTGCGCAATTACAATAATTGCTTCACCTTCTCTCGCTTCCAGCTCATCTGGCCTCTCAGCCTTGAAGTCGTACATGACCATCCCATACACCATCGCGCCGGCTCCCTTCGCCATACTCTTCGACATGCGCATCGGCTTTGGCTCTGAATCTGTCCCATTCGTGCTGCTGCTGATCGTTGTCCTTTCTGCGTATCCGGAGTCGTGTCCGGCGCTCGGTTGTACGCTGCCTCTTGCTGAACCTGCTGATGAGCCGCCGCTGTCCCTTACTGTCTTCCCGACTCCTTCGAAGTATTTCACCGGCACGAGTCCGCGGGTGCCTTGCAGGGGATTGCATGCCTCATACCAGTCTTCGTCATTTTCTCGCCCGACAACATGGAGGAAATCGCCTTGAGAGAAAGAGAGATAGCCGGACGCGGGGTTCGAATCGGGCGCTTGATAGTCGTACAGTGCTTTTATGACCTGAATGCCACAAGAAAGTCACGTTAGCGGCTACCGCATGTCCTGGCGCAGTCTTGTTCCGCAGCGCCCGTAGCCGTTTACCCGGAGAATCGCCTACATACCTTCTTCGGCGGCACAATCGCTATCGCATCCTTCTGAGGTATTGAGATGTGATGCGCTCTAGGTTCTGCCTCTTTGCTCTGCCTCGACCTTCGGAACTGGGAAGCTGTCAGTATCTCGTCCTATGCTAACATTGAGCGCGCGGACTAGCGACGGACCTTCATGTTGTCAATTTCACCTCTATAACAACGCGGTTTCTCTACTCTTCCTATTGGACTGGGCGGGAAGAGGGTTTGTGACTGTCCCACGGAAGGGTTTGCGAAAGCGCGGGTAGTAGCGTAGCACGATAGGCAGGCCGAAGCTGCAGGGTACGTCCGATCAGGTGTATCGATGTCGCGCAACAGGGTCGGCGACACGTGCGCAGCGGTCGCAATGCTCGTTTAGCCGTGGCTGTCTGCGGCCTTTGATATATCAAGTTGCGTGCGGTGCTCGGGGGAGATGGGAGGGGAGTAGAAGTGGGAGCGAGTCTGGACCACCCTTGGGCAAAGGCGCTCAAAGGTGGGCAGAACCAGAGCTCGTGCTTTCCACGCTTGCGTGTTTTCTCCGTTGTGCCTCGGGCGCACGAGGCACGCTACTCAGCACGCGACTGTGGAGGAAGTGTCGAAGTGTCGGTACGGGCGACGATCGGGGTTGTTGCGATGATGCGAGAAGAGTTCGAGATATGGTGGCCGCTGTTTCGGTCTCGATGGATTTGGGGGCAGAGGGCAGTTTTCTCTCGCCCGCGTTAGGGTGGGCCGAATGACGATCCTCCTGCAGCGACGCGCAGGAAATCGACGCAGGCACTGCAGGCACTCACGAGCTCTGGCTTGGCGGCGCGAGTCTGCGTGTCCTGTCGACGGACAGAGGCAAGCCTTGCTCTGCCCTTCCGATCGCGCGGCCGCTTGCAGCTGGCTGGAAATCTCCCGCAGAGGCACTATCAGACGCCCGACGAGCGCAACCTGAGCGGCTAGCTGTGCAACAAACGGTAAGGACGACGATGGCACCTTTCGGGCAGCACAGGCGGTTATACGCAATCGTCTATACGGATACTGGCATACCTGTTTGGTCAAATTGTCATGAGGCTGTTCAGAAGGTCTTTGTTCTCGAGCATGACTGCTTGGGACGACCTGCAACTCATCGAATCGTCCACGCAGCCCGCGATCATTAAAGAACACCACCATAGCGCCGCAGCACCATGTGCCTATCATCGATCCCTCTCTATTGCACGTAGGCGCTTCGGGCAATGTGAGAGAGAGCAGCTGCAAGCCATCAAGAAAAAGATTCGAAGTCTGGGATCCATGATCCGCCTAGGCATAAGCTTCTTCGAGGCGAGCGCGCCGTTGGACTTGCCAAAGCTTGCGTTTCCGCCAGCCATCAACGAATCAATGGCCGCAGCAGCCATCTGCATACATCATTGGTTGCTGCCTGCGCCGCAACGCCTATCTAACCGTGAACCAAGAAGGGGAAGCTTTATTGCAATGAACTCCGCCAAGCCAGCAACACCGTCAAGAAACAGTTGCCGTGCCATCTATGAACTCCAAGCCCAAAGTCCTTCACTTGAACGGGAAGACTGCATTTACCTTGTTGTTGACAAATTGTCGAGAGGAATTTCACATGCATCGAACGCTGTTTAGCGCCGGCAGCATGGTGATTGTAGCGAGTGGCGTCAGCCTTGTGCCAAGGGGACAAAGACGTGCTTTGATGGCCATGCGAGGTTCCTGTCATAGCCACGCTCCAGAAGCCGCGGTAGGTCGTCCCCAGGCCAATAAGCAAGCTTCTGCAAACAATCCAAAATGCGCCGGCTGCGAGCCGACATCGGAATCGCAAGTATAAAGCGACGCCTTGGGAACCAGTTCAGCCGTCGTGGTAGGAGTCAGCGACGGCTAAGCTGACTCGCCAAGGACTTTGTTCGACTTTGTGATCCGGATCCGGCGAACCTGATAGACCCCGAAACAGTCGCCAAGACGTGGACCCTTTGGATTTCGCTATCCAGGTGACGTAGTGTGGTACAGAGGAAGAGTCGCAGTACGACTCAAAAAGAAGTGCGAAGGATGATATTGCGGCGAGAGCCGAGTTCCAGACATCAATGGCGTGGATGAGCTCGTAGATAAGAAACGAACTGGAGATTGAAGAGAAGAGGAGGGTAAGGGGAAGATAAACAAGGGATGAGAAGCGTGAAGCGGAGAGCAATCGTAAGAGCAACGAGTGCGGATCAATGGACGCGCAGAGCGTTCAAGTGGACGGATCCAGGTGCGGTGAGGTTACACGCGTAGAGGACCTGGTATGCAGCAAACGACGATAGATTGCTTTCAGTTGCTAGAACCGAGGCAGACGTCTGAGAGGTGCGGCTATGGGACGTTTGCGAGCAAAGCGCTAATCACATGAAACCGTTATGGACCGTCGGTGGTCTCACATGGGGTTCGGAGGACCATTCTCGAAATGGCGAGAGTGACCCGGGTCGATCCCCGCAGGATCATATCTGA